GCGTGGTAATTCAATGCGTGGTAATTCAATGCGTGGTAATTCGACGCGTGGTAATTCAACGCGTGCTACTTCAACACGTATTAATTCCATTCATAGTAATTCGACGCGTGGTAATTTAACACAGCAACTCCGCGCGTGATAATTCCTACTCATGCGCAGACGCTAGTGCGCAGCCTCAAGCCAGCGTCTGCGCGTGCGCAATCCTCGCGCCCTGATTGGTCCGATGTTTTTCCTTAATAATTCAAAAACGAAGCTGCGCACCCCATTCCTGAAAAGGAAAATCTTATTCAAAATCAGCTCCCCCTTATTTCAAGAACACTAATTGTAACACCCTGTATAATATAAAACTTTTCTCAAGCTTTAAATTTGTATAGACGATTGTTCAATTGCACGTTGCAGGTTTCTACCGAGTGAATTACGACAACGAATCCTGGTACCGAATTTTCGAAACACTGAACAGTAAAAAGTACGAGAATATTCATGTGCTTAATCGAGCAGCACTGGTCGATGACGCTCTGAATCTAGCCAGGGCTGGTTTGCTATCGTATAACACGACGTTAGACGGCCTCCGATATCTGAAATTGGAAACAAATTATTTGCCTTTCAAGTCTGCGCTTACTGGACTCTCGTACCTCGATCAGAGGCTATCTGGACATGCTGTGTATTATGCGAAGTTTAAGGTTCGTTCAGTAATTAAATAACTATGTCATTATCCGAATTATTTCCATTTAGAAATGTGACCATTTGAAAAGTAATAAATTGTAAAGTTATTAATCGCGGTCATATAATGAGAGTATTATTGTTGCAGGAATTCGTCCTCCTTCTTATAAAAAATAGATACGAGGAACTGGGATATGTAGACAAGCCATCTGACGATAGACTGACAGTGTTATTGAGAGCTGAACTGAATAAATGGGCCTGCAATTATGGACACGAGGGATGTGTTAAAACTTTCACGAATATGTTCCAGCAATGGCGGAAAGATAATACTGCAACGTGAGAAAACTTATAAAAAAACTTATAAAAGCTTAAAAACATGAAGCAACAATTAATTATTATTAACATTTTTCCGCAGAATTAAGGCTAATCAGAGATCAGTGGCATATTGCATGGGCGTGAAACACGGAACCAAAGAGGACTGGGACTTCTTATGGAATCAATATTTCAACTCGAACTCCGGCAATGAGCAGGCAACTATAATGCAGGCTCTTGGATGCACCACTAATTCTACGATCTTAGAACAGTAAATAGTTTGTCTAAAAATTTTATAAATAATTTAGTTGGCAATTTGGGAGATTTGGGAAATTAGGGAATTGGGGAATTAGAGAGTTGGGAAATTAGAGAGTTGGAAAATTAGGGAATTGGGGAATTAGGGAGTTAGGAAATTAGAGAGTTGGGAAATTAAAGAGTTGGGAAATTAGGGAATTGGGGAACTAGGGAGTTGGGAAATTAGAGAGTTGGGAAATTAGAGAGTTGGGAAATTAGAGAATTGGGAAATTAGAGAGTTGGGAAATTAGAGAGTTGGGAAATTAGAGAGTTGGGAAATTAGAGAGTTGGGAAATTAGAGAGTTGGGAAATTAGAGAGTTGGGAAATTAGAGAGTTGGGAAATTAGAGAGTTGGGAAATTAGAGAGTTGGGAAATTAGAGAGTTGGGAAATTAGAGAGTTGGGAAATTAGAGAGTTGGGAAATTAGAGAGTTGGAAAATTAGGGAATTGGGGAATTAGGGAGTTAGGAAATTAGAGAGTTGGGAAATTAAAGAGTTGGGAAATTAGGGAGTTGGGGAATTAGAGAGTTCGGATATTAGAGAGTTGGGAAATTAGGGAATTGGGGAACTAGGGAGTTGGGAAATTAGAGAGTTGGGAAATTAGAGAGTTGGGAAATTAGAGAGTTGGGAAATTAGAGAGTTGGGAAATTAG